ATTACACATCATGATGTTTCAACTGGAGAGAGCATAACAAACCAGGTTACACACAGAATCCTCAAACACAAGCTCAGACAACTAAACACATCATGATGTTTCAACTGGAGAGAGCATAACAAACCAGGTTACACACAGAATCCTCAAACACAAGCTCAGACAACTAAACACATCATGATGTTTCAACTGGAGAGAGCATAACAAACCAGGTTACACACAGAATCCTTAAACACAAGCTCAGACAACTAAACACATCATGATGTTTCAACTGGAGAGAGCATAACAAACCAGGTTACACACAGAATCCTCAAACACAAGCTCAGACAACTAAACACATCATGATGTTTCAACTGGAGAGAGCATAACAAACCAGGTTACACACAGAATCCTCAAACACAAGCTCAGACAACTAAACACATCATGATGTTTCAACTGGAGAGAGCATAACAAACCAGGTTACACACAGAATCCTCAAACACAAGCTCAGACAACTAAACACATCATGATGTTTCAACTGGAGAGAGCATAACAAACCAGGTTACACACAGAATCCTCAAACACAAGTTCAGACAACTAAACACATCATGATGTTTCAACTGGAGAGAGCATAACAAACCAGGTTACACACAGAATCCTCAAACACAAGCTCAGACAACTAAACACATCAAGTCCAGACATCAGACGTTTATTTATCAACCACAGACTTGACATTGAAAACTGTCTAGACAATACTGTCAGCCAATTTATTATATCATCAATCAACTCACCAGATGTTGAGTCAATGTATCATATGTAAGTTCATCAATCAACTCATCAGATGTTGAGTCAATGTATCATATGTAAGTTCATCAATCAACTCACCAGATGTTGAGTCAATGTATCATATGTAAGTTCATCAATCAACTCATCAGATGTTGAGTCAATGTATCATATGTAAGATCATCAATCAACTCACCAGATGTTGAGTCAATGTATCATATGTCAGTCGACCCAGCCTATTTCAGTCAGCTTATGACACTGTAAGCATTAAACCCTGGGGCCCTTGCTAAGATTCACCTAACATCCAGTCCATGCAGCGGGTTCAACTATGATCCATTTATTATCATACCGAAACCATCACTGACCCTCAGAAACCCACAAAGTGGACTCTCTGGGTCATAATACCTTTGGGATTTAATTGCAAGACTTTAAATAAAGGAACTCTTCTGTGCATAGAATCATGTTAAAACACACGCACTCACACGAGAAAATGCCACTCTTGTTACAGCTAGCTGTGGAAGGCAGAAATGTTGCCAACCTCACCACTTCCACATTCCAGCAGATCTATCACTTATCATAAATGACTCCATAAATAGACAGACAATTCATTTGTTTTGTTGTTGCCAGGAAACAGTCACACAGGGAGAGCAAGGTAGTGTGTGTGAATTTGAGTGAGGACAAACAGCGTCATGTCACAAACATACTCACACAGGTACACACACACTCACACAGGTACACACACACACACAGGTACACACACTCACACAGGTACACACACTCACACAGGTACACACACTCACACAGGTACACACACTCACACAGGTACACACACTCACACAGGTACACACACAGACATCAAAGATGCTGATATGAGAAGCTTCATACATGCTGGTCGACATTAAGCCAGTCTTCACACACTCAAATTGACATTATGCCAGTCTTCAAATACAATTTTTTACACACTCACAAACACACAATCAGATATGGATGCTGACATTATGTGAAAAGCTGACCACACATACCAAGGTTGACAACATGTGAGAAGCTGAACACACATACCAATGTTGACAACATGTGAAAAGCTGACCACACATACCAAGGTTGACATGTGAAAAGCTGACCACACATACCAAGGTTGACAACATGTGAAAAGCTGACCACACATACCAAGGTTGACAACATGTGAAAAGCTAACCACACATACCAAGGTTGACAACATGTGAGAAGCTAACCACACATACCAATGTTGACAACATGTGAAAAGCTAACCAGACATACCAAGGTTGACAACATGTGAAAAGCTAACCAGACATACCAAGGTTGACAACATGTGAAAAGCTAACCACTCATACCAATGTTGACAACATGTGAAAAGATGACCACACATACCAATGTTGACAACATGTGAAAAGCTGACCACACATACCAAGGTTGACAACATGTGAAAAGCTAACCACACATACCAATGTTGACAACATGTGAAAAGCTAACCACACATACCAAGGTTGACAACATGTGAAAAGCTGACCACACATACCAATGTTGACAACATGTGAAAAGCTAACCACACATACCAATGTTGACAACATGTGAGAAGCTGACCACACATACCAATGTTAACATGTGAGAAGCTGACCACACATACCAATGTTGACAACATGTGAAAAGCTAACCACACATACCAAGGTTGACAACATGTGAGAAGCTGACCACACATACCAATGTTGACAACATGTGAGAATCTGACCACACATACCAAGGTTGACAACATGTGAGAATCTGACCACACATACCAATGTTGACAACATGTGAAAACTGACCATACATACCAATGTTGACAACATGTGAAAAGCTAACCACACATACCAAGGTTGACAACATGTGAGAAGCTAACCACACATACCAATGTTGACAACATGTGAAAAGCTAACCACACATACCAAGGTTGACAACATGTGAAAAGCTGACCACACATACCAAGGTTGACACTATGTAAAGCGTTTACAAACAGAAATGATTTGTAAAATGTTAACCCTACCTATCAAGGCTCTGAAAAGTGGACCACATATACCAATGCTGATTCTATGTGAACATTTAACATAAAATGTGATTCAGGCGACAAAAGTAAGAAGACAAAAAAATTTGCGCAGCTGACTTTCAAACCTCACGTACAAATCAATGATGAGGGTATTATATGAAAGTACATGCATACATTCACCTGCGACTGACACCATATCAAACAGATTCCAAGATGTGTACATTCACCTGCGACTGACACCATATCAAACATATTCCAAGATGTGTACATTGTGAGAATCTGCAACAAGGCCGTGCACCAACCACTGTACATACGAGTATATTAGACTCACTGTCAAACAGTCACCCAAATGTCTATGTACAGTCACAAGAGTAGAACTGCGGTCTTCAAACAAAACAATCATATGTGACATTTGTCTACAATTTACGAAAACTGAAACAACATAACTGAAACATATTCATGGAAATATAATTGTTATGGGAAGAGACCAGGTCAGACTACTAATAGTAAAACTGAAACAAGTAACAAATCAGAATTATACAGGTGTAACTGTTACAAGATCAAAAATACTAACTGCTGTGAGATTTAACAGGGTGAGAATTATTTGTGTCATAAGAAGTAATAAAATGAGAATTATAATTGCTATGAGATGTAACGAGATGAGAACTATGATGTGAGAAGTACCCAGGCAGACACTAGCCTGCGAGACATCCTGAGCAATCACTAGCCTGTTGGACATCCTCTTCAATCTCTAGCCTGTTGGACATCCTCTTCAATCTCTAGCCTGTTGGACATCCTGGGCAATCACTAGCCTGTTGGACATCCTCTTCAATCTCTAGCCTGTTGGACATCCTGGGCAATCACTAGCCTGTTGGACATCCTGGGCAATCACTAGCCTGTTGGACATCCTGGGCAATCACTAGCCTGTTGGACATCCTGGGCAATCACTAGCCTGTTGGACATCCTGGGCAATCACTAGCCTGTTGGACATCCTGGGCAATCACTAGCCTGTTGGACATCCTGGGCAATCACTAGCCTGTTGGACATCCTCTTCAATCACTAGCCTGTTGGACATCCTGGGCAATCACTAGCCTGTTGGACATCCTGGGCAATCACTAGCCTGTTGGACATCCTCTTCAATCACTAGTCTGTTGGACATCCTCTTCAATCACTAGTCTGTTGGACATCCTGGGCAATCACTAGCCTGTTGGACATCCTCTTCAATCACTAGCCTGTTGGTTGCGACAGAAGCTCTGGAAGCTGGAAAACTAGTCAAGTCTCAACTACTCCCCACTATGCTGTGAGAGGATCAACTACTCCCCACTATGCTGTGAGAGGATCAACTACTCCCCACTATGCTGTGAGAGGATCAACTACTCCTCACTATACTGTGAGAGGATCAACTACTGCCCACTATGCTGTGAGAGGATCAGCACCCACGTGTTTCACTCCTCACTTACAGGGTATTCTGGAGAACAAGTTAAGTTTGTCGACCTGGATAAAACTAGGCCGCCAGAAGGCTGTCACTGATCAAGAGGATGTGGATGGAAAAACGGCAAGACGGAAATAGAATCAGGCATTACTTATTCTGGAAATCTGACCTATTGAAGATAGGGATGGAGCACTTATAGGAATGCCAGAATTATCTGATGTGTTACTTAACACAAATTAACAAGGCTTACAAGAATAAATAACTTGAAATACCAACAACAACAAAAAAACAACAGCAACATTGAACAGCCATTTTTCCATCAACAAGGAGTACCTGGACAGGTTCATTACTGGGATGTCTGACTTTCTGTGACCTGAGCTGACCTCAAGCTTGGGGGAAAAACAGTGATGAGAAATCAAACTGATGACCACAAATCATAACACTGGCCAGACATACAAACAGTTTATTGCATGTGAGGCTCTTCTATGGATGGCAGTAATTATACAGTTTTTCCTGGAACTGTGGAGACAGTGACAAATGTCTGGTGGATTATGTTCTCGTTCTCTCACAATCTCACAGTTGACCTCCAATCTAAGTCTACTGTTGATTGTCCAGATCTGACATGTTTCAGCTCTGTGATGTTCCGTTCAGCCAGATGTCACATCATCTTATCCATGACATGAGATACAGCACTGACCCGCCAACATCACAGACCCACTGACAGCACTGACTCACCACTGTCCACCTAAAACAACACTGACCCACAAGATGTTAGTCGATGTCATCAATGTCGCCCATCATATTGTCGTCCAAGAGTTCTGGGAACAGGTCTTCCTTGGAGGTGTACTCCACCAGCTCGGTACCTAGGTATTTCAGAGAAAAATCTGTGAGATCTTCGTCATCTGGATCTTAGCATCAAACACAGACATGTCATCGCTGGCAGACTCAGAGACACACAGTGTCAACTTGTCAAGTCAGGCAAGTTTAGGTGTGGGTCTTTGATGGTGTCAGCTGAGGTGTGTGAGTGGTTGATCATTAGTAATGTGAGGTGTGTGACTAGTTGATCACATGTAATGTGAGGTGTGTGAGTGGTTCAGCACATGTAATGTGAGGTGTGTGAGTGGTTGAGCACATATAATGTGAGGTGCGTGAATGGTTAAGCACATGTAATGTGAGGTGTGTGAGTGGTTGAACACATGTAATGTGAGGTGTGTGAGTGGTTGAACACATGTAATGTGAGGTGTGTGAGTGGTTCAGCACATGTAATGTGAGGTGTGTGAGTGGTTGAGCACATATAATGTGAGGTGTGTGAATGGTTGAGCACATGTAATGTGAGGTGTGTGAGTGGTTGAACACATGTAATGTGAGGTGTGTGAGTGGTTCAGCACATGTAATGTGAGGTGACAAACATTTGTAATGTGAGGTGACTGAGGTATGTGAGTGGTTGAACATGTAATGTGAGGTGTGTGAGTGGTTGAACACATGTAATGTGAGGTGTGTGAGTGGTTCAGCACATGTAATGTGAGGTGACTGGGGCATGTGAGTAGTTGAACACTTGCAATGTGAGGTGACTGAGGTATGTAAGTGGTTGAACACGTGTAATGTGAAGCACAATATCCGTTAAGGTGTTTTCTCTGTAGGTATTGTCCTGACTGTCTCATGTGTGACTTGGCTGTTTTCTCTGTAGGTATTGTCCTGACTGTCTCGTGTGTGACTTGGCTGTTTTCTCTGTAGGTATTGTCCTGACTGTCTCATGTGTGACTTGGCTGTTTTCTCTGTAGGTATTGTCCTGACTGTCTCATGTGTGACTTGGCTGTTTTCTCTGTAGGTATTGTCCTGACTGTCTCATGTGTGACTTGGCTGTTTTCTCTGTAGGTATTGTCCTGACTGTCTCATGTGTGACTTGGCTGTTTTCTCTGTAGGTATTGTCCTGACTGTCTCATGTGTGACTTGGCTGTTTTCTCTGTAGGTATTGTCCTGACTGTCTCATGTGTGACTTGGCTGTTTTCTGAGTCTGACAGTTATTTCTCTTCACACCCTCCCCCTTTTCTTTCAGCTTTTCTGTGTCTGCCCCCTTTTCCTTTCTCTTACATACAGACGCTGACAAAGAAACAAAGAAACAGAGAGAGAGAGAGAGAGAGAGAGAGAGGGGGAGAGAGAGAGAGAGAGAGAGAGAGAGAGAGAGAGAGAGAGAGAGAGAGAGACAGACAGAGAGAGAGAGAGAGAGACAGAGAGAGACAGAGAGAGAGAGAACATATTAGAACAGAGACAAACATAGACACAAACAGTAAGATAAAAAAAAAGGAATCAGGGAAAAAAAAAACACAGGGCAACAAATCAAAGATAAACAACATAATTGAAGTAAACACAAACAGAGAGGAAACTCACATGGCAGGTACTGGATATCACACAAACCATACACAGACTGTGTACCTGTAATGTTTCCATGATCTAGGTCGGATGTGCCAGCTTCCTCTTTCTCTCGATCAGACTTTAACTCATCTAGGTCCTGCATTGCAGAAAACAGGCAGAAGTTTGATAAGATACACAAGACAAGAGACACACAACACATGTTAGACAAAACAAGACTCACAAATCAAGACACAACACTAACTAACATATAAGACACACAACACAATTTACACGCACAAGACACACAACAAGAGGGGCTTCATGCAGGACCAAGGTGCCTACATCACACAATCATACAGTGCCAGGGAAAAGGCCACAACTGTGTTGTTAAACTTTTATGTGTCATTACTGGCTTTCTGTTACCACTTTTTAGACTGAAGAGCAGAGGCCTAGAAAGGAATATAATTAAAATATAAATAAAGTGACAGACAAGACAACAAGAGGACCAACTGTCAGACAAGAAGACAGGACCCACTGTCAGACAAGACGAGAGGACCCACTGTCAGACAAGACGAGAGGACCCACTGTCAGACAAGACAACAGGACCCACTGTCAGACAAGACAACAGGACCCACTGTCAGACAAGACAACAGGACCCACTGTCAGACAAGACAACAGGACCCACTGTCAGACAAGAAGACAGGACTGTCAGACAAGACAACAGGACCCACTGTCAGACAAGAAGACAGGACTGTCAGACAAGACAACAGGACCCACTGTCAGACAAGAAGACAGGACTGTCAGACAAGACAACAGGACCCACTGTCAGACAAGACAACAGGACCCACTGTCAGACAAGAAGACAGGACTGTCAGACAAGACAACAGGACCCACTGTCAGACAAGACAATGAGAGGACCCACTGTCAGACAAGACAATGAGAGGACCAACTGTCAGACAAGACAACAACTGTTACCTTTTCTGGGATAACTGGCCAGGGGTTTGATGAATCAAAAAGCTGAAAACAGAAGATACAACAACATGTGAGTGCATGAGAAAACTGACAAATTATGTCAGATATTAAAAAGAAACGAAAATAAAAATTACTTTTCTCAAAATATAATGTCTGATAACTCAATGACTATTAAACATCAGCTTTCATGTTCCCCACAATCTCTAAACTCAGCTTACATGTTCCCCACAACCTCCAAACCCCAGCTTACATGTTCCCCACAACCTCCAAACCTCAGCTTACATGTTCCCCACAACCTTTAAACTTCAGCTTACATGTTCCCCACAACCTTTAAACTTCAGCTTACATGTTCCCCACAATCTCTAAACTCAGCTTACATGTTCCCCACAACCTCCAAACCTCAGCTTACATGTTCCCCACAAACACCTGCTTCCTTATCACCACAATCCCGTACATATCAAAGAACGTTAAGCACAGCTGTTCACACAACTTTAATTACACAGACTAACACACCAGAGACTAAACAGTTATGTCTGGCTTGTACATGACTACCTGCAATCTCTGCAAGCTCACACACAACACAAGAAGGGATAGGGTTACCAACAGCAGCATTCGAGAGAAGGCTGGCTGGAAGAAGACTGTCTGGATTACACTGACAGACACAGAATGAAATGGTTTGGTCATCTAGTGAGAATGCAGCCAGACCAAACTGCATATGAGACTTCTTACAGCAGAAATCTGGGAGAAAGGCAAGGGGGAGACCAAGGAAGAGAAGGATAAATGGTGTTGTTGAAACCTGCTAAAAAAATAAACAAATCCACTCCCAAGCCAACTGAGAAGCGGCTGGCACTCACCGCCAACAGAACAACTGATGCAGCACTCACTCACCTCCATCAGATCAACTAGACAACTGATGCAGCAGTCACTCACCTTCATCAGAACAATTAGACAACTGATACAGCAGTCACCTCCATCAGAACAACAAGACAACTGATACAGCAGTCACCTCCAACAGAACAACTAGACAACTGATACAGCACTCACCTCCATCAGAACAACTAGACAACTGATACAGCAGTCACCTCCATCAGAACTAGACAACAGATGCAGCAGTCACTCACCTCCATCAGAACAACTAGACAACTGATACAGCAGACACCTCTATCAGAACAACTAGACAACTGATGCAGCAGACACCTCCATCAGAACAACTAGACAACTGATACAGCACTCACTCACCTCCAACAGAACAACTAGACAACTGATACAGCAGTCACTCACCTCCAACAGAACAACTAGACAACTGATGCAGCAGTCACTCACCTCCATCAGAACAACTAGACAACTGATACAGCAGTCACCTCCATCAGAACAACTAGACAACTGATACAGCACTCACCTCCATCAGAACAACTAGACAACTGATACAGCAGTCACTCACCTCCAACAGAACAACTAGACAACTGATGCAGCAGTCACTCACCTCCATCAGAACAACTAGACAACTGATACAGCAGTCACCTCCATCAGAACAACTAGACAACTGATACAGCACTCACCTCCATCAGAACAACTAGACAACTGATACAGCAGTCACCTCCATCAGAACTAGACAACTGATGCAGCAGTCACTCACCTCCATCAGAACAACTAGACAACTGATACAGCACTCACTCACCTCCAACAGATCAACTAGACAACTGATACAGCAGTCACCTCCATCAGAACTAGACAACTGATGCAGCAGTCACTCACCTCCATCAGAACAACTAGACAACTGATACAGCACTCACTCACCTCCAACAGATCAACTAGACAACTGATACAGCAGTCACCTCCATCAGAACAACTAGACAACTGATACAGCAGTCACCTCCATCAGAACAACTAGACAACTGATACAGCAGTCACCTCCATCAGAACAACTAGACAACTGATACAGCACTCACCTCCATCAGAACAACTAGACAACTGATACAGCAGTCACCTCCATCAGAACTAGACAACTGATGCAGCAGTCACTCACCTCCATCAGAACAACTAGACAACTGATACAGCAGACACCTCCATCAGAACAACTAGACAACTGATGCAGCAGACACCTCCATCAGAACAACTAGACAACTGATACAGCACTCACTCACCTCCAACAGAACAACTAGACAACTGATACAGCAGTCACTCACCTCCATCAGAACAACTAGACAACTGATACAGCAGTCACTCACCTCCATCAGAACAACTAGACAACTGATACAGCACTCACTCACCTCCAACAGAACAACTAGACAACTGATACAGCAGTCACTCACCTCCAACAGAACAACTAGACAACTGATACAGCAGTCACTCACCTCCATCAGAACAACTAGACAACTGATACAGCACTCACTCACCTCCAACAGAACAACTAGACAACTGATGCAGCAGTCACTCACCTCCATCAGAACAACTAGACAACTGATACAGCAGACACTCACCTCCATCAGAACAACTAGACAACTGATGCAGCAGACACCTCCATCAGAACAACTAGACAACTGATGCAGCAGACACCTCCATCAGAACAACTAGACAACTGATGCAGCAGACACCTCCATCAGAACAACTAGACAACTGATGCAGCAGACACCTCCATCAGAACAACTAGACAACTGATACAGCAGTCACTCACCTCCATCAGAACAACTAGACAACTGATACAGCAGACACTCACCTCCATCAGAACAACTAGACAACTGATGCAGCACTCACTCACCTCCAACAGAACAACTAGACAATTGATGCAGCAGTCACTCACCTTCAACAGAACAACTAGACAACTGATACAGCAGACACTCACCTCCAACAGAACAACTAGACAACTGATAAAGCACTCACTCACCTCCAACAGAACAACTAGACAACTGATGCAGCAGTCACTCACCTCCAACAGAACAACTAGACAACTGATACAGCAGTCACTCACCTCCAACAGAACAACTAGACAACTGATACAGCACTCACTCACCTCCAACAGAACAACTAGACAACTGATACAGCACTCACTCACCTCCAACAGAACAACTAGACAACTGATACAGCAGTCACTCACCTCCAACAGAACAACTAGACAACTGATGCAGCAGTCACTCACCTCCATCAGAACAACTAGACAACTGATACAGCAGTCACTCACCTCCATCAGAACAACTAGACAACTGATGCAGCAGTCACTCAACTTCATCAGAACAACTAGACAACTGATACAGCAGACACTCACCTCCATCAGATCAACTAGACAACTGATGCAGCAGTCACTCACCTCCAACAGAACAACTAGACAACTGATACAGCACTCACTCACCTCCAACAGATCAACTAGACAACTGATACAGCAGACACTCACCTCAAACAGAACAACTAGACAACTGATACAGCACTCACTCACCTCCAACAGAATAACTAGACAACTGATACAGCACTCACTCACCTCCAACAGATCAACTAGACAACTGATACAGCAGTCACTCACCTCCAACAGAACAACTAGACAACTGATGCAGCAGTCACTCACCTCCAACAGAACAACTAGACAACTGATACAGCACTCACTCACCTCCAACAGAACAACTAGACAACTGATACAGCAGACACCTCCAACAGATCAACTAGACAACTGATACAGCACTCACCTCCAACAGATCAACTAGACAACTGATACAGCAGACACCTCCAACAGATCAACTAGACAACTGATACAGCAGACACCTCCAACAGATCAACTAGACAACTGATACAGCACTCACTCACCTCCAACAGAACAACTAGACAACTGATACAGCAGACACCTCCAACAGATCAACTAGACAACTGATACAGCACTCACTCACCTCCAACAGAACAACTAGACAACTGATACAGCAGACACCTTCAACAGATCAACTAGACAACTGATACAGCACTCACTCACCTCCATCAGAACAACTAGACAACTGATACAGCACTCACTCACCTCCATCAGAACAACTAGACAACTGATACAGCAGTCACTCACCTCCAACAGAACAACTAGACAACTGATGCAGCAGTCACTCACCTCCAACAGAACAACTAGACAACTGATACAGCACTCACTCACCTCCAACAGATCAACTAGACAACTGATACAGCAGTCACTCACCTCCATCAGAACAACTAGACAACTGATGCAGCAGTCACTCAACTTCATCAGAACAACTAGACAACTGATACAGCAGACACTCACCTCCATCAGATCAACTAGACAACTGATGCAGCAGTCACTCACCTCCAACAGAACAACTAGACAACTGATACAGCACTCACTCACCTCCAACAGATCAACTAGACAACTGATACAGCAGTCACTCACCTCCAACAGAACAACTAGACAACTGATGCAGCAGTCACTCACCTCCAACAGAACAACTAGACAACTGATACAGCAGTCACTCACCTTCAACAGATCAACTAGACAACTGATACAGCAGTCACTCACCTCCAACAGAACAACTAGACAACTGATACAGCACTCACTCACCTCCAACAGAACAACTAGACAACTGATACAGCAGACACCTCCAACAGATCAACTAGACAACTGATACAGCACTCACCTCCATCAGAACAACTAGACAACTGATACAGCACTCACTCACCTCCAACAGAACAACTAGACAACTGATACAGCAGACACTCACCTCCAACAGAACAACTAGACAGCTGATGCAGCACTCACTCACCTCCATCAGAACAACTAGACAACTGATACAGCAGACACTCACCTCCATCAGAACAACTAGACAACTGATGCAGCAGTCACTCACCTCCAACAGAACAACTAGACAACTGATGCAGCAGTCACTCACCTCAAACAGAACAACTAGACAACTGATACAGCAGTCACTCACCTCCAACAGAACAACTAGACAACTGATACAGCAGACACTCACCTCCATCAGAACAACTAGACAACTGATGCAGCAGTCACTCACCTCCAACAGAACAACTAGACAACTGATGCAGCAGTCACTCACCTCCATCAGAACAACTAGACAACTGATACAGCAGTCACTCACCTCCAACAGAACAACTAGACAACTGATACAGCAGTCACTCACCTCCAACAGAACAACTAGACAACTGATACAGCACTCACTCACCTCCAACAGAACAACTAGACAACTGATACAGCACTCACTCACCTCCAACAGAACAACTAGACAACTGATACAGCAGTCACTCACCTCCAACAGAACAACTAGACAACTGATGCAGCAGTCACTCACCTCCATCAGAACAACTAGACAACTGATACAGCAGTCACTCACCTCCATCAGAACAACTAGACAACTGATGCAGCAGTCACTCAACTTCATCAGAACAACTAGACAACTGATACAGCAGACACTCACCTCCATCAGATCAACTAGACAACTGATGCAGCAGTCACTCACCTCCAACAGAACAACTAGACAACTGATACAGCACTCACTCACCTCCAACAGATCAACTAGACAACTGATACAGCAGACACTCACCTCAAACAGAACAACTAGACAACTGATACAGCACTCACTCACCTCCAACAGAACAACTAGACAACTGATACAGCATAGCAGTCACTCACCTCCAACAGAACAACTAGACAACTGATACAGCAGTCAGTCACCTCCATCAGAACAACTAGACAACTGATACAGCAGTCACTCACCTCCATCAGAACAACTAGACAACTGATGCAGCAGTCACTCAACTTCATCAGAACAACTAGACAACTGATACAGCAGACACTCACCTCCATCAGATCAACTAGACAACTGATGCAGCAGTCACTCACCTCCAACAGAACAACTAGACAACTGATACAGCACTCACTCACCTCCAACAGATCAACTAGACAACTGATACAGCAGTCACTCACCTCCATCAGAACAACTAGACAACTGATGCAGCAGTCACTCAACTTCATCAGAACAACTAGACAACTGATACAGCACTCACTCACCTCCAACAGATCAACTAGACAACTGATACAGCAGTCACTCACCTCCAACAGAACAACTAGACAACTGATGCAGCAGTCACTCACCTCCAACAGAACAACTAGACAACTGATACAGCACTCACTCACCTCCAACAGAACAACTAGACAACTGATACAGCAGACACCTCCAACAGATCAACTAGACAACTGATACAGCACTCACCTCCAACAGATCAACTAGACAACTGATACAGCAGACACCTCCAACAGATCAACTAGACAACTGATACAGCAGACACCTCCAACAGATCAACTAGACAACTGATACAGCACTCACTCACCTCCAACAGAACAACTAGACAACTGATACAGCAGACACCTCCAACAGATCAACTAGACAACTGATACAGCACTCACTCACCTCCAACAGAACAACTAGACAACTGATACAGCAGACACCTTCAACAGATCAACTAGACAACTGATACAGCACTCACTCACCTCCAACAGATCAACTAGACAACTGATACAGCAGTCACTCACCTCCAACAGAACAACTAGACAACTGATGCAGCAGTCACTCACCTCCAACAGAACAACTAGACAACTGATACAGCACTCACTCACCTCCAACAGATCAACTAGACAACTGATACAGCAGTCACTCACCTCCATCAGAACAACTAGACAACTGATGCAGCAGTCACTCAACTTCATCAGAACAACTAGACAACTGATACAGCAGACACTCACCTCCATCAGATCAACTAGACAACTGATGCAGCAGTCACTCACCTCCAACAGAACAACTAGACAACTGATACAGCACTCACTCACCTCCAACAGATCAACTAGACAACTGATACAGCAGTCACTCACCTCCAACAGAACAACTAGACAACTGATGCAGCAGTCACTCACCTCCAACAGAACAACTAGACAACTGATACAGCAGTCACTCACCTTCAACAGATCAACTAGACAACTGATACAGCAGTCACTCACCTCCAACAGAACAACTAGACAACTGATACAGCACTCACTCACCTCCAACAGAACAACTAGACAACTGATACAGCAGACACCTCCAACAGATCAACTAGACAACTGATACAGCACTCACCTCCATCAGAACAACTAGACAACTGATACAGCACTCACTCACCTCCAACAGAACAACTAGACAACTGATACAGCACTCACTCACCTCCAACAGATCAACTAGACAACTGATACAGCAGTACAGCAGTCACTCACCTCCATCAGAACAACTAGACAACTGATACAGCACTCACTCACCTCCATCAGAACAACTAGACAACTGATACAGCAGTCACTCACCTCCAACAGATCAACTAGACAACTGATACAGCACTCACTCACCTCCAACAGAACAACTAGACAATTGATGCAGCAGTCACTCACCTCCAACAGAACAACTAGACAACTGATGCAGCACTCACTCACCTCCAACAGAACAACTAGACAACTGATACAGCACTCACTCACCTCCATCAGAACAACTAGACAACTGATACAGCACTCACTCACCTCCATCAGAACAACTAGACAACTGATACAGCAGACACTCACCTCCAACAGAACAACTAGACAACTGATGCAGCACTCACTCACCTCCATCAGAACAACTAGACAACTGATACAGCAGACACTCACCTCCATCAGAACAACTAGACAACTGATGCAGCAGTCACTCACCTCCAACAGAACAACTAGACAACTGATGCAGCAGTCACTCACCTCAAACAGAACAACTAGACAACTGATACAGCAGTCACTCACCTCCAACAGAACAACTAGACAACTGATACAGCAGACACTCACCTCCATCAGAACAACTAGACAACTGATGCAGCAGTCACTCACCTCCAACAGAACAACTAGACAACTGATGCAGCAGTCACTCACCTCCATCAGAACAACTAGACAACTGATACAGCAGTCACTCACCTCCAACAGAACAACTAGACAACTGATACAGCAGTCACTCACCTCCATCACAACAACTAGACAACTGATACAGCAGTCACTCACCTCCATCAGAACAACTAGACAACTGATGCAGCACTCACTCACCTCCAACAGAACAACTAGACAACTGATACAGCAGACACTCACCTCCATCAGATCAACTAGACAACTGATACAGCAGTCACTCACCTCCAACAGAACAACTGATACAGCAGTCACTCACCTCCATCAGAACAATTAGACAACTGATACAGCAGTCACTAACCTCCAACAGATCAACTAGACAACTGATACAGCAGTCACTCACCTCCATCAGAACAACTAAACAACTGATACAGCAGTCACTTACCTCCATCAGAACAATTAGACAACTGATACAGCAGACACTCACCTCCATCAGATCAACTAGACAACTGATGCAGCAGTCACTCACCTCCATCAGAACAACTAGACAATTGATGCAGCAGTCACTAACCTCCATCAGAACAACTAGACAACTGATACAGCAGTCACTCACCTCCATCAGAAAGGATGGGTCCACCTTGTATTGGTCCTGTAGGATTCCCTTCAAACCATCCAGATCAGAGGATAGGAGATCTAGCTGGTCAGAGCTGCAAAGAGACATGGGATCAAGCAATGAGTCAGTCAGATATGGGATCAAGCAATGAGTCAGTCAGATATGGGATCAAGCAATGAGTCAGATATGGGATCAAGAAATGGGTCAGTCAGACATGGGATCAATTAGTCACTCAGATATGGAATCAAGCAATGGGTCAGTCAGATATGGGATAAAGCTTTGGGTCACTCAGATATGGGATCAATGAATGAGTCACTCAGATATGGGATCAAACAATGGGTCAGTCTGACATGGGATCAATTAGTCACTCAGATATGGGATCAAGCAATGAGTCACTCAGATATAGGATCAAGCAATGGGTCATTCAGATATGGAATAAAGCTATGGGTCACTCAGATATGGGATCAAGCAATGGATCAGTCAGATATGGAATAAAGTTATGGGTCACTCAGATATGGGATCAAGCAATGGGTCAGTAAGATATGGAATAAAGCTATGGGTCACTCAGATATGGGATCAAGCAATGGGTCAGTCAGATATGGAATAAAGCTATGGGTCACTCAGATATGAGATCAAGCAATGGGTCAGTCAGACAAGGGATCAAACAGTCAGTCAGATATGAACATATTCACAGGCAGATATCGGCTCTGTCTCAAGATATTATTATTCTTAACGTACAGCTGGCTGTGAACTATGGCAGAAAGCGATCCATGGTTCATGCTTGTTAAACTCCAGCTATTTTCACTACAACTCTAAGTGATCCATGGTTCATGCTTGTTAAACTCCAGCTATTTTCACTACAACTCTAAGTGATCCATGGTTCATGCTTGTTAAACTCCAGCAATTTTCACTACAACTCTAAGTGATCTATGGTTTAGCCCAATAAAATCCTTGCTAAACTCCAGCTGTTCTCACAATCAACTCCAGCAATTTTCACTACAACTCTAAGTGATCCATGGTTTAGCCCAATACAATCCTTGCTAAACTCCAGCTGTTCTCACAATCAACTCCAGGTCAAGGTGATCCACGGTGTAGATCCAGGTGATCAGTGCTACAACTCAAGCCTGTCTAGGTAGCAAACTAGCCGACTGCAACAACACTTGGTTACCTTATCGTGAACTCATCAACACTTGGTTACCTCATCGTGAACTCATCAACACTTGGTTACCTCATCGTGAACTCATCAACACTTGGTTACCTTATCGTGAACTCATCAACACTTGGTTACCTTATCGTGAACTCATCAACACTTGGTTACCTTATCGTGAACTCATCAACACTTGGTTACCTTATCGTGAACTCATCAACACTTGGTTACCTTATCGTGAACTCATCAACACTTGGTTACCTTATCGTGAACTCATCAACACTTGGTTACCTTATCCTGAACTCATCAACACTTGGTTACCTTATCGTGAACTAATCAACACTTGGTTACCTTATCGTGAACTCATCAACACTTGGTTACCTTATCGTGAACTCATCAACACTTGGTTACCTTATCGTGAACTCATCAACACTTGGTTACCTTATCGTGAACTCATCAACACTTGGTTACCTTATCGTGAACTCATCAACACTTGGTTACCTTATCGTGAACTCATCAACACTTGGTTACCTCATCGTGAACTCATCAACACTTGGTTACCTCATCGTGAACTCATCAACACTTGGTTACCTCATCGTGAACTCATCAACACTTGGTTACCTTATCGTGAACTCATCAACACTTGGTTACCTTATCGTGAACTCATCAACACTTGGTTACCTTATCGTGAACTCATCAACACTTGGTTACCTTATCGTGAACTCATCAACACTTGGTTACCTTATCGTGAACTCATCAACACTTGGTTACCTTATCGTGAACTCATCAACACTTGGTTACCTTATCGTGAACTCATCAACACTTGGTTACCTTATCGTGAACTCATCAACACTTGGTTACCTTATCGTGAACTCATCAACACTTGGTTACCTTATTGTGAACTCATCAACACTTGGTTACCTTATCGTGAACTCATCAACACTTGGTTACCTTATCGTGAACTCATCAACACTTGGTTACCTTATCGTGAACTCATCAACACTTGGTTACCTTATCGTGAACTCATCAACACTTGGTTACCTTATCGTGAACTCATCAACACTTGGTTACCTTATCGTGAACTCATCAACACTTGGTTACCTTATCGTGAACTCATCAACACTTGGTTACCTTATTGTGAACTCATCAACACTTGGTTACCTTATCGTGAACTCATCAACACTTGGTTACCTTATTGTGAACTCATCAACATCCTTTGAGGATGCAACTGCCAGGCTAGAATCCCCACTGTTGCTGACGCTAGCGGCGGCTGACCCCGCTGAGTTCAGATCTGAGTTGGCCATCATGATGTTGGTCAGAGAAGCTGCGTGGTCATCAGACAAGGGCTGGATCTGCTCGGCAACGCCAGTGTTGCCTCTCTGAGGGGAAGGACTTAGTCGTTTGGTTGGACCGCCTCCTGGTTCAGCATGAGCTCCGGACACTGAGCCACCCTTCCTTTTCCTCTGTGAATGCATCAAAACAGTCATTTCAATGACTGTGAAATCAATAAAATGATGAGATGATAGTATGAAATACCGTTTTATGTACAAGGATATCTTCTTACAATTAAGTAATCTAGACCATTAATGAACCCAACCATCTCCCCCACCATATGGAGTTTACCTTTAGCTGCATACAGTGTGAAGACTGGTCATGCCAGTGTGTTTCTAGTTCTTGTGCACAGAACATATTCAAAGGTTTGGATTTGTTAGCACACATGTCCTTGGCGTTAAAGCTGATGTGTTTTGTTTGCGTATGACAATTCCATCCTGAGGCAACGCCGGGTGATCTGTCTCTGCCAGCCTGGAGTGCGGTATGTACCACTAGGCCAGCTCTGCCCAAAGGATGTTGTCACGTCCATTCTGTCACAACCTGCAGCGTGTTCTTGATTTATCTTCATGACCTTCTCCCTTCGGCCTTACACTTAACATTCATTCTACTTCAAAGTGAGAGTTACCCACACACTCCACAACCAAACTATCTCAGCCCACCCATATTTGGGCACTGCAGCCACACCTGGCGACACAAAACCACCCACATTTGGGCAGTGCAGTCACACCTGACCACACAAAAATCCCACCCACATTTGGGCAGTGCAGCCATACCTGACCACAAAAAAAACCATCCACATTTGGACAGTGCAGCAACACCTGACCACAAATAACCACCCACATCTTGGCAGTGCAGCCACACCTGACCACAAACAAGTTCAACAGTTGTACAGCGGCCCTTACACTGAGCAGCTGCTGACCGATGTCAGTAACGGTCCCTACCCTGTGCTGAGGGCCCAAACTGGGGGCCTGGAGAGGGGTGTCGGCTTGAGTCACTGGGTTGGAACTGGTAGGCACGTTGAACCCAAAGTTGAGGGCGTCCTCGAGTGACGGGGCAGCTTCGATTTTAGGGGACATGAGGAAATTGACAGGCTCTGACTGGTTTCCCAAGGTCAACATGGCTGTCCCTGGGGGCTGCGACTGGGTCACCGGTACCAAGACGATGCTAGGGCCCTTGGCTGGTGCTGGTGACACACCCTGGCAGGAAAGAAGTTCAACAACTCAACACCTAATTACATGCAGCTCTGCAGTCTGTTGTCATTAAACATACGGGACATATCAATCACAAGTAAGGGAACCTTTTCCACGAGCACTGGGCATACAGGGCTAGACCTATTAAATACCAACTGACACTTAAGTGGGTGATGTGGTCAGCATCACTCCGGCTGCCTTTACTTCCCAGGACTGTACCCATTATTCAAGGCTGGCTCTAGGTGGGGACTAAGGCCATTTATAAAAATACAAAAAAGTCTGGCTCTGTGAGGGTCCAAACCCACGACCTTCCGATCCGCAGACCGGCATCTAGCCACTACACCATGACGACTTAGATGTACGATCATATAACACACAGCTACCATAATTGGATCTACATATGGCAGAATATGTCACTTAATGATGAAGCTTTAAACAAGTAGCCTCTATGAAAATGTTTGTGTATTTCGTGTGTCAACATTGGTTTTGGCCAACTGTGTACGTGCAATGTATTTATGTTTGATTGAAATATTTGGATACAGCCTCAGAAGGAAGTGCAGTCGAGAGAACTGTCACCTCATCTCGCTAACGGTTACCTAGAATATGTGAGGCCCCAACACTCCGCATGGCACAAGACTATCTTTGGCTAAGGGTTTCAAGCGATAAACAGTCCCAGCTCCTCACTGTAATCGCATGGGGACAATACGGTGCTAGGGTCAAACTGTTTTGCACCCAAATGCGCTCAATGGCTGATGATGTCAGAACCCTGCTGCCCACCTTATATTCCCAGAACATTATTTTACAAGATCCTGTGGTGCTATTGTTTCACTAAGAGAAGAGAGATAAGATAGGTTAACTCTATCACACTATATACTTTAAATGAGATTTTATAAATGTTAACTATCAGACGAGATATAATCACTTGTCTGATCAGGTTAAATGAGATTCTATCAATGTTCACTATCAGACGAGATATAATCGCTGGTTTGATCAGGTTAAATGAGATTCTATCAATGTTGACTATCAGACGAGATATAATCGCTGGTTTGATCAGGTTAAATGAGATTCCATAAACATTACCAGACGAGATATAACCGCTTGTCTGATCAGGTTAAATAAGATTCCATAAACACCGCCAGACGAGATATAACTGCTTGTCTGATCAAATTAAATGAGACTCAATAAACATTAAATACCAGATAAGATAATCCAAATAAATGGATTGCCATATAGTTGCTCCTTTTATGTGCCAACAAAAACCATAAATGGATTGCCGTATAATTGCTCCGTGTATGTGCCAACAAAAACCATAAATGGGTTGCCGTATAGTTGCTCCGTTCATGTACCAATAAAAAAACCATAAATTGGTTGCTGTATAGTTGCTCCGTTTATGTACTAATAAAAATGTATATTGTTCTGTTCATGTGCCAACAAAAAACACAAATGGGCTGCCGTATAGTTGCTCCGTTTAAATGGGAACAAATGGGTTGCTGTATAGCTGCTCCGTTTATGTGCCAACAAATGGGTTGCCGTATAGTTGCTCCGTTTATGTGCCAACAAATGGGTTGCCGTATAGTTGCTCCATTTATGTGCCAACAAATGGGTTGCCGTATAGTTGCTCCATTTATGTGCCAACAAATGGGTTGCCGTATAGTTGCTCCGTTTATGTGCCAACAAATGGGTTGCCGTAGTTGCTCCATTTATGGGTCAACAAAGGGTTTGCCACATAGTTGCTCCGTTTATGGGCCAACAAATGGGTTGCCATATAGTTGCTCTGTTTATGTGCCAACAAATGGGTTGCCATATAGTTGCTCCATCTATGTGCCAACAAATGGGTTGCCGTATAGTTGCTCCATTTATGTGCCAACAAATGGGTTGCCATATAGTTGCTCCGTTTATTTACCAACAAAAAGCACACAGAATGTCTGACACTGTCCCTTATGAAGAAAACTGACACAGACTGCAGTCTCAGCAGAACCATAGCATAAACACACAAATGCATAAGGCAGCCACCAAAAGTGCCAAGGACAACAGTCCGGCACAGAAATGCAGTCCATCAGAGAAAATCTAACCGCCTGCTTGATCATGTTACGTGAAAGACGACAGACATTGAGTAACAACTGACTCACATGAGAGGAGGTGAGTATGGGATGAATGGCATTCTGCTGCGGGAGTGTCACACCTTGATTCATCTGAAACATGCAACAACCCATCACCTAGCTGCACCTAGGATGTCACCTAGCAAGCTACACATTTACTGGTCACCTTGGTGAGGGATTCACAGGCTGAAATAACAACTCAAGTTTTCATGAGGCAAGAGACCTGCAGTCTCAGGTTCAGTGGCACTAAAGTCTTTCAGAGATCCAAGAGGATTGTTGATGAAGCTGTGTGACACTCTGCTGAGAGGGTCAGCCTCTGTGCTGAGATGTATCATTCCAGAAGGGATTCAACTCTATACATCACATTTGTCACCCCTGTCTGCTAGAACTGCTCCCCATGTCTGCACTTACAGCCCCTGACTGCTAGAACTGCTCCCCATGTCTGCACTTACAGCCCCTGACTGCTAGAACTGCTCCCCATGTCTGCACCTACAGCCCCTGACTGGTAGAACTGCTCCCCATGTCTGCACCTACAGCCCCTGACTGCTAGAACTGCTCCCCATGTCTGCTTCTACAGTCTCTGCTAGAACTGCTCCTCATGTCTGCACCTACAGCCCCTGACTGCTAGAACTACTCCCCATGTCTGCACCTACAGTCCCTGCTAGAACTGCTCCCCATGTCTGCACCCACAGCCCCTGACTGCTAGAACTACTCCCCATGTCTGCACCTACAGCCCCTGACTGCTAGAACTGCTCCCCATGTCTGCACCTACAGTCCCTGACTGCTAGAACTACTCCCCATGTCTGCACCTACAGCCCCTGACTGGTAGAACTGCTCCCCATGTCTACACCCACAGCCCCTGACTGCTAGAACTGCTCCCCATGTCTGCACCTACAGCCCCTGACTGGTAGAACTGCTCCCCATGTCTGCACCCACAGCCCCTGCTAGAACTGCTCCCCATGTCTGCACTTACAGCCCCTGACTGCTAGAACTGCTCCCCATGTCTGCACTTACAGCCCCTGACTGCTAGAACTGCTCCCCATGTCTGCACTTACAGCCCCTGACTGCTAGAACTGCTCCCCATGTCTGCACCTACAGCCCCTGACTGCTAGAACTGCTCCCCATGTCTGCACCTACAGCCCCTGACTGCTCCCCATGTCTACACCTACAGCCCCTGACTGGTAGAACTGCTCCCCATGTCTGCGCCCACCATTCTGTTCCCTGTACTGTCAACCGTCTCTGAGAGAGATGCTTCTCCATGCCCTGATGCCAAACTGTCTCATCTCCCTTGGTTTGCTTTTTGTAAGAAAACATTGTCCAATAGCAGATTTGTCAGCAAGTGAGTTCAGAGTTACAGAAGCACGCTGGACAGCAATCAGAAAAAGAAACCTGAATACAGGTGACAGCATCATCTGGTAACATAGAGCTTATCAGCAACAAACAGAAGCCCGCTTTAAAAGTTGAAAAAAAAAAGGGTCTTAACAATATGCTCTTGGAATGGAAACCAGTAATGGCTTTTGCACAGAAGATTCCATTCAAGATATGCAAAAGCTTCCATCGCGGTTTGTTATGCACCAACAGCTGGTGCAGAAGAGGAGACAAAAGACCCCTTGAAATCAGTGACAGCAGACACTTCAAAACATGACAATCTTTGGGGACGTCGATTCACAGGCAAGAAAGGATAACACATGGAGGGAAAGCACTGAACATGAAAAACAATGGACAACGGAGAGATGTTAGGTGCTTTCTGCAAAGAAAATCATTCAGCTTTATCACAGCTTCAGCATGCAAGTACATCAACACTTGCCACTGAAGCTCCCTCAATGCTAAATATGTATGAACATATATATGTGTATGTATGATTTCCTGTGTAACTGTAGTACTGTTGTGACTCTGTTTCCCTGACTTCCCTCTTGGATATCTGTTGTTTCTCTCTAGGATTTGACAAGTTTGCAACACACCAGGCAGAAGTGCAGGCAAAGTCGAGGTCAGATAGAAGCACCTGGCTATGTTTACAAGCTAGAGGATCAACTTCCTGACACTGGGTTTTATCTTAAATGTAGCTAGAGGATCAACTTCCTGACACTAGTTTTATCTTAAATGGCTCAGTCTCCCTCTGCAAAGACTGGATACCCACCTAGACCATCACACACAGCATGAAGCTTCTTAGCTCCAGGAACTACCCTGGCAAGATATCCAAACACAAACTGTACCTGTCACCCGAAGGACACAACCCCAAAATTACACAGCTAGAGGATAATAACTTAATCACTTCACCTGGGAAACCCCTTGGTTGATTCTAAATGAGCAAACATGATCACTGAACAATAGCAAATTAAAGAGATCAATTGTAAGAAAACACCAACACCAGGAAAAACTGAAAACATCAGAAGACACGCCACAGACTGTCAGGAGTACTCCACAACTGTCTAACACAAGGGCTACTGACCAGGTCTAGTGCCACAGACTGTCAGGAGTACTCCACAACTGTCTAACTTAAGGAATATGCAAGGCTACTGACCAGGTCAATTGTCGACACAGGAACCAGTATGGTCTGGGGCGAGTCTGTCAGCTCATGGATGATTGGTCCATTCGGTGTTGGGGCCGGGGATATGTGAAAGTCACCCATCCTTGGCTGCGGAGACAAAAACTGAAAATATTGCACAACAGCTACGCGGCTGAAGTCACCTCACAGCACGACAGCTACACGGCTGAAGTCACCAAATAGGACAAGATTTACCATTTGGAGAATGCGGTAGATATCAAAAGGGCCACAGGCGACAACAAGCAAGCAGACTTGACAGCCAGTGAGTGCATCTAGACCGCCACACAAAGACAATATGTATTACCTTACAATTACCTGTTGCTGATGTCAGAAAACACAAACCACTCATGTTGCCAGACTAAATCTAAGATGTAAATGTCAAGAAAGTTTTAAACTGGCTACGCCTAGAGCCCAGCGGCAGATGTAAGAGACACTGTGAGCCATCCCTACGATGAATGTTGGCTGCACAGCCTTAATCTCTCTCACGGTGTGCTCACACCTGTCTGGACGCCCTGAACAAGTTTTTTTTCCTCTAAATAAACCAGCCGCTGTGAAAACTGAACCCTGAAACATCCATGATTGTGAATCAAGGACCTCAAACAGACTTCCAATGAGAAGGGGTGGGCTCCGGGCCAACCAAGTGATACAACTTTGTTGGTGATGTGTCTTCCATTCCTCTGAAGTATCACTGTTGAAACAGCTGGAAAGACCACTGACCTCCCAGCCCATACCTCTGAAGATCAGTGTTCAGTTTTCCTGACCAGCTGTGCTCATCTAGTGGGCAGTCGGATACAGTATGTCAATGTTGTCAGGGCCTTGGTGTCAGGGACACTTGTTTCCCTGCCTTTACTGCTAATGCTTCAACTGATACTGGTTGTGCTACTGATGGCTCTCCTACTGATACTTCAACTGATACTGGTTGTGCTACTGATGGCTCTCCTACTGATACTGGTTGTGCTACTGATGGCTCTCCTACTGATACTTCAACTGATACTGGTTGTGCTACTGATGGCTCTCCTACTGATAACTTCAACTGATACTTCAACTGATACTGGTTGTGCTAATAATACTTCAACTGATACTGGATGTGCTACTGATACTTCTGTTTCATAGTGTTAGATTTAAAGATACAAGTAGGCGGTATCCTTGGACATGGGAAATGCAGTGTAGGCAGTGCCTTTGTGGATAGGAGATACAAAGCAGACTATCTTTCTGAATGGGACAGCCAGGAGGACCTATGTTCCCAAGGAGACTAGGCCCAAGAATGGCCGACATTCTACACATGCTCAACAATCTATTTACAGATACAAACACAATTATGTGATCCAAAAGGCTCGACTACAATAGTCTATACACAAATATACATACACGGACTTGTAGCTAAGAAGCTGCATTACAACAATCAATACATACACGGGCACGTAGCTAAGAAGCTTCATTACAACAATCGATACATACAAACACCAATGTGCAGCTGCGAAGTTATGTCTCAAAACTTTGCTGACTAAAGGCACAATTAAAACAGCGCAAACTCGTCAAAGTCCTTCTTCACTCAACCTCTGACAAAGATCAGAATCAGAGGAATGCTGCCGGCAGTCTAAACAAAACTAACAGTTGCCGAGACGGATAATCACCCCAGCTGATTGGTCAAGCATTTGACGATGATCCAAACTGGCAAAAATACCTGAGGTTATGGAGACTAGAAGAAAGTGTAATAATGGTGAGCTGTGTATAAGACAAGAAAGGAAATCTGATACTATGCTCCAATTACCGTAAGATTGCATTAATAAGTCATGCTAGCGATATCCTCTTACGAATCATCATGAAAAGGATTGACAGGAAATTACAATATGAGCTAGATGAAGCACAAACAGGTTTCAGACAGGGTAGAGGAACTAGGGGTCACATCTTTAATATGAGAATAATTTGTGAAAAAATGCAGAGAATACAATGTAGATCTTCATGTTTGTTTTATTGATTATAGCAAGGCATTTGATTGTGTCCAACACTACAAACTGTGGACTATTATGAACAGTATGGGGTTTCCAGCACATTTAGTGCATTTAATTGAAAATCTTTATCATGAACAACAAGCAGCCATCTGAGCAGCTGGTGAAACATCTGATTGGTTCGAGGTGCAAAAGGGGGTGAGGCAGAGGTGCATTCTCTCACCAAACCTATTCAATATATACGCAGACAATATGACCAGACTTTGACAGTTATCCGCTCAAAATTTCTTCTTCGTCTTCAGCGGCTGTAAACTCCGGCGGAAAGTTCTGCTTGTTATCCACTTCTGGACATTAGTCTGGTTCCAGACCTCTCAGGCTCTGACTAATAAGGAAACATCCCTAGTTAGCACTCATACAACATGCTTGTTGGGGGCAGTGAGTGATCTTTTGTGTGTGTGTGTCTCCCACAACTGAGGACCTAGAACCCACACATGGATAAGGAACATGGGACAAATGCAGGAACAAATGAAAGAGAATGACACAGAGATGTCAAAGTAGAGGACACAAGATGAAAAGTCAACAAACAATGATATATAAACAGGGACAATGTTAAGGAAATGACAATGAACTTCAACGGAGACAATGTTTATGAAAAGGCAATGGAAACATAAGACAATGTTAATGAAACAACAATAGAAATATAAAACATAACTGTTACAATGTTAATGACATGACAACTGAAACATCAAATATAACAGAAAATGGATGAGACAAGACAATGAAAGATAACTAACAATGACCCTGATGAAACAGAAGCTGCAACAATGAGAAATGGCAAAGAATACAAAAATGACAAGGCGAACAAATGGCAGAAGGAAAGCAAAGCAACATGGAGATGTAAGTGTGTGGGACAAGCGACACTACTCACAGATTCAATAGTATATCTGGGGACATCGTTGGCCTCATCTTTCATGTCCTCGGGTGAGGGGGGGACAATGATGTAAGCGTTCTGTTTGAAGAAAGCAGACAATCACCGCTGATGGCCTGGAAACTAACACATGTATTTGGTTGTATATGAAAGCTATAGTGGACCTGCCGGCTAGAAGTGGACACACCGGCTGACTGGCACTTTTGGTTACAATCGTAGGGCAGGTGGGTTTTCTCCCATGCCTATGGGGTCCTGAGCCGCAGTGGTGAAGCAGCTAGGAGCTCACATTTCAGGCCTGAGTTTCTGGGTTTGATCCATTAGGTGGGTGGTGTTTCTTCATGATAAAGGGGCTATGACCCGCAGTGGTGAAGCAGCTGGGTGCTTGCCATTTGGAGCAAAAGACTTGGGTTCAAATCCCAACAGTCAGATTTATTTGAAAACTGGTCTTGGACCCCCCCCCCCCCACCCCAGCTGAGCCAGCTTAAAATGGATACCAAGTAAATTCCTGGAAAGTACAGGCGGCTGGTGTGATGTCAATCACATGACCCACAGTGTTGACTGATGTCTATATTTCTTGTGTATAGTGAGCCAAGCATCATATGTCCAACACCTGGTGGATGTCAGAGGGACCCTGGGCTTGACTCAGGCTCATCAGACATCACTTAATGTTGATCTCCAACTCCTTAGAAAGCTCGTTTCCCATTGATGTTCAGTAATGTTAATGTCCAACTCCTTAGAAAGCTCGTTTCCCATTGATATTCAGTAATGTTAATGTCCAATTCCTTGAATCAACCCTCAGCCTGCATCTGTTTCTTCAAGGAACTTCTTATTCAGTTTTAAGTACATCTATTGTATTCTTTGCTTCTTAGAAAGAACTTTGTTGCTGCCATTCAGTAATGAATTTGGAAGTCTTTACGCATCCGAAAACTGGGTGCAGACCTGGCAATGGACAAAACAACCTGCTTACGGACAAAGGAGCGCCAGATGTTGAATTTAAACATGGTTCCAGAAAGAACAGGAATTGAAAGAGACCAATCCAGCATGCTACAGCCAGAGTGTTATTAGAATGATTGGCACTGACGCCATGTGAAACATCTGTAGAGGGAAGCAGAGTGTTAATAGAATGATTGGCACTGACGCCATGTGAAACATCTGTAGAGGGAAGCAGAGTGTTAATAGAATGACTGGCACTGACGCCATGTGAAACATCTGAAGAGGGAAGCAGAGTGTTAATAGAATGACTGGCACTGACGCCATGTGAAACATCTGTAGAGGGAAGCAGAGTGTTAATAGAGTGACTGGCACTGACGCCATGTAAAACATCTGTAGAGGGAAGCAGAGTGTTGTTAGTATGATTGGCACTGACGCCATGTGAAACATCTGTAGAGGGAAGCAGAGTGTTAATAGAATGACTGGCACTGACGCCATGTGAAACATCTGTAGAGGGAAGCAGAGTGTTAATAGAATGATTGGCACTGATGCCATGTGAAACATATGTAGAGGGAAGCAGAGTGACTTGAGGTTGCCCAGAGTTCTGTGGTGCTGATTTTCAATTACTTTCTGGCATAAAAAGTGAAACAAACATAAAGTGCTCAGCAACATTAGCTGAGAAAGCAACAATCAATATCCTTGTTCAAGGAAAAAATCAAAATGAAAAAAAAAAAAATTTACTTGCAGAAATAAGTAACAACAGAGGTGCTAGTGACACTAGGTGCATGATACAACACATAAGCCAGCTGCTGGAACAATTAGCACATACAGCATGGGAGATACAGAGCACCTGTGGGTTTATCTGGAGTGCACCAACAACAGTCCTAATGATAAACATGTTCATACTTGGCTACCAACATAAACCACAACATCTGCCTGCATGTTTCCATGACAACAATTTCTCAGGCAATCAAAGACAGACAAGTTTTGAATTCTTCAGTTAGCACCAGCTTCCTACCACAGTATAAACATCCTAGCTATGTGATGTCCTGTGTCAGCTTCCTACCACAGTATAAACATCCTAGCTACTTGATGAGTCTTGTGTCAGCTTCCTATCACAGTATAAACATCCTAGCTATGTGATGAGTCCTATGTTAACTTCCAATCACAGTATAAACATCCTAGCTATGTGATGAGTCCTGTGTTAGCTTCCTATCACAGTTTAAACATCTTAGCTATGTGATAAGTCCTGTGTTAGCTTCCTATTACAGTATAAACATCTTAGCTATGTGATAAGTCCTGTTTTAGCTTCCTATCACAGTATAAAAATCCTAGCTACGTGATGATTCCTGTGTTACCTTCCTATCACAGTATAAACATCTTAGCTATGTGATAAGTCCTGTGTTAGCTTCCTATTACAGTATAAACATCTTAGCTATGTGATAAGTCCTGTGTTAGCTTCCTATTACAGTATAAACATCTTAGCTACGTGATAAGTCCTGTTTTAGCTTCCTATCACAGTATAAAAATCCTAGCTACGTGATGATTCCTGTGTTACCTTCCTATCACAGTATAAACATCCTAGCTATGTGATGAGTTCTGTGTTAGCTTCCTATCACAGTTTAAACATCTTAGCTATGTGATAAGTCCTGTGTTAGCTTCCTATCACAGTTTAAACATCCTAGCTATGTGATGTCCTGTGTTAGCTTCCTATTACAGTATAAACATCTTAGCTACGTGATAAGTCCTGTGTTAGCTTCCTATCACAGTATAAACATCCTAGCTATGTGATGATTCCTGTGTTACCTTCCTATCACAGTATAAACATCCTAGCTATGTGATGATTCCTGTGTTAGCTTCCTATCACAGTATAAACTCCCTAGCTATGTGATGACTGATGATTTCTGTGTTACCTTCCTATCACAGTATAAACATCCTAGCTATGTGATAAGTCCTGTGTTAGCTTCCTATCACAGTATAAACACCCTAGCTACGTGATAAGTCCTGTGTTAGCTTCCTATCACAGTATAAACACCCTAGCTACGTGATGATTCCTGTGTTACCTTCCTATCACAGTATAAACATCCTAGCTACGTTATGATGCCTGTGTTACCTTCCTATCACAGTATAATCATCCTAGCTACATGATGACTGCTGATTCCTGTGTTAGCTTCCTATCACAGTATAAACATCCTAGCTATGTGATGATTCCTGTGTTAGCTTCCTATCACAGTATAATCATCCTAGATATGTGATGATTCCTGTGTTAGCTTCCTATCACAGTATAATCATCCTAGCTATGTGATGATTCCTGTGTTAGCTTCCTATCATAGTATAATCATCCTAGCTATGTGATGATTCCTGTGTTAGCTTCCTATCACAGTATAATCATCCTAGCTATGTGATGATTCCTGTGTTAGCTTCCTATCACAGTATAATCATCCTAGCTATGTGATGATTCCTGTGTTAGCTTCCTATCACAGTATAATCATCCTAGCTATGTGATGATTCCTGTGTTAGCTTCCTATCACAGTATAATCATCCTAGCTATGTGATGATTCCTGTGTTAGCTTCCTATCATAGTATAATCATCCTAGCTATGTGATGATTCCTGTGTTAGCTTCCTATCACAGTATAATCATCCTAGCTATGTGATGATTCCTGTGTTAGCTTCCTACCACAGTATAAACATCCTAGCTATGTGATGACTGATGATTTCTGTGTTAGCTTCCTACCACAGTATAAACATCTAGCCACATGATAAGTCCTGTGTTAGCTTCCTATCACAGTATAAACATCCTAGCTATGTGATAAGACCTGTGTCAGCTTCCTATCACAGTATAAACATCCTAGCTACATGATAAGTTCTGTGTCAGCTTCCTATCACAGTATAAACATCCTAGCTACTTGATGAGTCCTGTGTCAGCTTCCTATCACAGTATAAACATCCTAGCTATGTGATGAGTCCTGTGTTAACTTCCAATCACAGTATAAACATCCTAGCTATGTGATGAGTCCTGTGTTAGCTTCCTACCATAGTATAAACACCGTAGCTACGTGATGATTCCTGTGTTACCTTCCTATCACAGTATAAACATCCTAGCTACGTTATGATGCCTGTGTTACCTTCCTATCACAGTATAATCATCCTAGCTACATGATGACTGCTGATTGCTGTGTTAGCTTCCTATCACAGTATAAACATCCTAGCTATGTGATGATTCCTGGGTTAGCTTCCTATCACAGTATAATCATCCTAGCTATGTGATGATTCCTGTGTTAGCGTGCACAAGTGTGGAAGTAACAATATACCACCACCAGCAGTACGCTGTAAGAAGCTGCAGGACCAGATCTAGTTCACCGCGGCCAATCCCTGCTCCCACTTCTTTGGGAACAGTTCAAATCACATCAAGACATTTTTTTTTCAACAACAACAAAACTGGCTCCTTGAGGAAGCTTAAAATGTTGACCAGGTCCTGGGATGTAAAGGTGACCAACTGGACTGATGCTGACCCATGGCCCACAACTATAGTATGGCCGATGTGTTGCTGCTGGAGACTGGAGACCTTTACTGGTACTACAAGGGCGTGAGGTTTACTCTGTGCAAATGAACCTCATCACTGACACCACGTGCAGATTACACTGCCATTAATAAAGTCTAGAATGCCTGCGGAGGTCCAACAAGGAAACAAAGAATCCTCAATGGAAGAATCTAGAAATGATTATTACAAGTGGGGGAACACTGCTACTGGTGGTCCTCCCACTGCCTGAGGTAGAGATATATTCACTGGCAGTGCCGCCCTTGTGCAGTCACCAGCTCAAGTAGTCACACAGAGACATGGTCTACATCAGTGTTTCCTAAACTGTCTTTAGTCGCGGCGCCGTTTTGCGTTACAAAATTTCCCGCGGCACCCTAAGTAAAAGTATAACTATTCGTATGTAAGAGATACAAAAAAAAAAACTGTGTACCATCAGACAAGCATGTCATATAGGGGACTAACTAGAGGTTTGTTGAAATCACATGTGTTTGGCATAAAAGCAGTTATCACAGCCTAGCTGTAAACTGCAACATATTGTGTTTAAAATCAAGCATACAAGAAGAAGACTTTCACAAGTATGTTAGAAGTGAGACCATTCTGACCAGCTGCTGCCACCTCAGGCTGAAGATGGCTGGCATTCTTGGGAAAGAAAGCATAAATATTAACACTCAACAAATCAAGGCAAGGATCTTGCCCACCAGGGGCATACCCACTCTAGATTTGAGTGACGGCAACTATCAGACATGATTCTCCACACATGCCCACTCTAGATTTGAGTGACGGCAACTATCAGACATGATTCTCCACACAAGCCCACTCTAGATTTGAGTGACGGCAACTATCAGACATAATTCTCCACACAAGCCCACTCTAGATTTGAGTGACGGCAACTATCAGACATGATTCTCCACACATGCCCACTCTAGATTTGAGTGACGGCAACTATCAGACATGATTCTCCACACATGCCCACTCTAGATATGAGTGACGGCAACTATCAGACATGATTCTCCACACATGCCCACTCTAGATTTAAGTGACGGCAACTATCAGACATCATTCTCCACACATGCCCACTCTAGATTTGAGTGATGGCAACTATCAGAGATCATTCTCCACACATGCCCACTCTAGATTTGAGTGATGGCAACTATCAGACATCATTCTCCACAAAACGTCTCTTTCATCGTAGCCTGCTGAAAACATTCTTGGTCAGCCGTCCTGTCTCATGTACTTTCAAGTCCATACCTAGGATGTCTTTCATGCCCTGGGTGATTTCAATGCTTAGGATGATTTCAATGCCTAGGATAATTTCAATGCCCAGGGTGTCTTCAATGCCCATGTGTTTTCAATGCTCAGGATGTTTTCAATGCCCCGTGTTTAACTGTTGTGTTGACACACACTTCTATTGCTATTCTTTGCAAACAACCATGATGTTTGATGCAACTAAAGTGATCTCAGTTTCTAAGAGTTCATACTGTTAGCAGGCCAGTCTGTTTATACTGCAGCTATTATTACATGTCAGAATAAAAGCATGTGACCATGTCAGAAACCTTGTCTACTTACTGTGTCATTCATGTTGTTCCCCGCTTGTTGCACTCGGGCAGACGCCTCATTGGAGGAGTCCATGCCCTGATGATCGACTAGCTGGCCGACATCGTTGATGGCCAGGGGAATCCGCCGCATGGCTGGGATGGACAGTCCTGTCCTGTTAGAGCTGACCAGAGACACCAAGAACTGTATCAGCTGCAAGAGAAACACACAAGTACATTCAAATGTTTGGATACACCAAGAACTGTATCAGCTGCAAGAGAAACACACAAATACATACAAATGTTTGGATACACCAGGAACTGTATCAGCTGCAAGAGAAACACACAAGTACATACAAATGTTTGGATACACCAGGAACTGTATCAGCTGCAAGAGAAAACACACAAGTACATACAAATGTTTGGATACACCAGGAACTGTATCAGCTGCAAGAGAAAACACACAAGTACATACAAATGTTTGGATACACCAAGGCACTGTATCAGCTGCAAGAGAAAACACACAAGTACATACAAATGTTTGGATACACCAAGGCACTGTATCAGCTGCAAGAGAAACACACAAGTACATACAAATGTTTGGATACACCAGGAACTGTATCAGCTGCAAGAGAAAACACACAAGTACATACAAATGTTTGGATACACCAGGAACTGTATCAGCTGCAAGAGAAACACACAAGTACATACAAATGTTTGGATACACCAAGGCACTGTATCAGCTGCAAGAGAAACACACAAGTACATACAAATGTTTGGATACACCAGGAACTGTATCAGCTGCAAGAGAATCACACAAGTACATACAAATGTTTGAATACACCAGGAACTGTATCAGCTGCAAGAGAAACACACAAGTACATACAAATGTTTGAATACACCAAGGCACTGGGTACTGGGGACAGGAGGTACTACGCACAGACGGTACTTGGAGCAGAAAGTAATGAGGGCAGAGAGTAATTGGGACAGAAAATATTGGAACTGAGATGGACTCAACGACTGAGGATGGCAACAAATAAGATACAACATAAGGATGATGCACACATAGGATAACAGACAGGCGATAAGGTTCTAAAGACATATACAAGTGTGGATATAAAGCTTGTGTACAAGTGTGGATATGAAGCTTGTGTACATATGTGGATATGAAGCTTGTGTGCATATGTGGATATAGAAAGACACACAAGGGGTCGGTCTGTCTGTGGCCACTGCAGCTGCTGACATAAAGGAAAGTATATGTCAGGGCGTGGAGGGAAAGTACATGTCAGGGCGTGGAGGGAAAGTATATGTGAGGGTTTGGAGGGAAAGTACATGTGAGGGTATGGAGGGAAAGTATATGTGAGGGTATGGAGGGAAAGTACATGTGAGGGTATGGAGGGAAAGTATATGTGAGGGTATGGAGGGAAAGTATATGTGAGGGTATGGAGGGAAAGTATATGTGAGGGTATGGAGGGAAAGTATATGTGAGGGTATGGAGGGAAAATATATGTGAGGGTGTGGATGTGGAGGAAAAGTATATGTGAGGGTATGCTGGGTGGGGTATGCTGGGTGGGGAATGCTGGGTGGGGTATGCTGAGTGGGGTATGCTGGGTGTGACAACTCACCTTGTTGACAATCTGCTGCTGCTTGTGGTGTTTCTGCCTCAGCAAGGCCACCTCCCTCCACAACAGTTTGTTCTCCCTGCCAGCACACAAGTATCTCATTGTTACTGTTGTCAATGTTAGGGTTGTCATTGTTACTGTTGTCAATGTTAGGATTGTCATTGTTACTGTTGTCAATGTTAGGATTGTCAATGTTACTGTTGTCAATGTTAGGATTGTCATTGTTAGGATTTTCATTGTTAGGATTGTCATTGTTTCTGTTGTCTTAGGGTTGTCATTGTTTCTGTTGTCAGTGTTAGGATTGTCATTGTTTCTGTTGTCAATGTTAGGATTGTCATTGTTTCTGTTGTCAATGTTAGGATTGTCATTGTTACTGTTGTCAATGTTAGGGTTGTCATTGTTACTGTTGTCAATGTTAGGATTGTCATTGTTACTGTTGTCAATGTTAGGATTGTTATTGTTACTGTTGTCAATGTTAGAATTGTCATTGTTACTGTTGTCAATGTTAGGATTGTCATTGTTACTGTTGTCATTGTTAGGATTGTCATTGTTACTGTTGTCAATGTTAGGATTGTCATTGTTACCGTTGTCTATGTAAGGATTGTCAATGTTAGGGTTGTTTGTTTGTTTTTGTTTTAGTATCCAGAAGCCATGAGTTAACCCTTAGGCTCAGTATTATGGATATTGCAACCTTTCAGCCTTGATTCCATTGTAAATAACGTAAATCTGGTAGAAATGTGGCTTTTCTGCCAACCCCCGGACCACAGGGAGTTCGTTATCCTGTCTCCGCACAATCGGGTTTAGCCAACTACGCTAGAGAGCCGGGCATTTAGGGTTGTCAATGTTACTGTTGTCAATGTTTCTGTTGTCTATGTTACCTTTGTCAATGTTAGTATAATCATTGTTACTGTTGTCTTTCTCACACAAACATGATTACCACACTCACCTTCTAGCATCTTACATTATCTCTGTCCTCTGCCACCAACATACAACATTATCTCTGTCATCTGCTACCAACATGCTACACTGTCTGTCCTCGGCAACCAACATACAACATTATCACGGTCATCCGCTACCAACATATAACACTGTCTGTCTTCTGCTACCAAAGCAAAACATTATCTCTGTCAACCGTTCAAATATATAACATTATCTCTGTCAATTGTTACCAACATACATCTCTATCAAATTTATCTCTCAACCATTCCCAACATACAACACTATCTGTCTTCTGCTGCCAATGTAAAACATCCAAATATACAACATCTCTATCAACTAAAGCCAACATACAACCTTATCTGTCACCCGTTACCAACATACAATATCTCTATTAACTTCAGCCTACATGCAACATTATCTCTCGAATCCGTTACCACCACTCACAATTATCACTGTCAACTACAGCCAACATACAATATTACCACCATCAACTGCTACCAACATAGAACATACATAATTATGACTGTACAACCCTGTCGGGCATGCAACAGTCTTCACATCAGTATCACTGTATAACCTTGTCGGGCATACAACAGTCTTCACATCAGTATCACTGTATAACCCTGTTGGTTGGGCATGCAACAGCCTTCACATCAGTATCACTGGAAAACAGTAGACAAAAGTCTGTACCTTTTGATGTACTCCAAGTTCTCATCCATGGTCTCCTGCTTGGATCTGACCTGCTTCATCTCGGACAGCACCCGGGACACCTCGTCTGGCTTGGCAGCCACCAGGTGGTCAGTGGTGCGCATTCCCTGGGCCGAGACCTGCTGAGGTAACCAGGGCAATCAAACAGATGCATCTGAGAAGTCCAACAGATTGAGGAGGGAGACATGTCCCTACACAGCCCTGGCCGGGTGTGAAAATGTGTATTTCACATTATAAAAGATGTGGACAATCCAGTCACAATTTCACATGCGTTGCAAAAGATTGGGACAGTTCACAGACAATATTGCAAAATATAAAGACAACTGAGAGACAATGTCTACTGAATTAGAATCTGACAGCCTGGACTTATGTCCCCACTGCAAGCAGGTTATACTAGTCAACACAGAACTACACAATGCCTATAAGAGCCAGGGCGGTGTAGAGACTATTCTCTCAACCTTGTACTGTAAGTTCTCTCCACCAGACCAAAGACTAACAATGAAAAATACAAATATCATGGCTAGTATTTACAAATTAATTGTTTTTAATAAGTACGTGAACAAACAGAAAATGTGTGGATTATGTTCAGAAGAATATCACAGATGGAGAAATACAAATGCTGAGTGGGGCATTTGAAAAGAAGAAATGAGAGAAAAGAAGGAAAGTTGTCAAACAGGAGAGAAAGGTTGAGGCAGCTGGAAATAACAAGCTTATGCTGCTGAAAAACACACCACAAGGAACATCATCAATCACCAGCTTCTTTACACATCAATCTCATAAGGCCTGCACCAAAGTCTATCTCTAGCCAATTCTCTAGCCTTAACAGTTTTGTATGAGTGCTCTGATTGGCTGAATAAAACATATCCTTAAAAGAGGGACCAATGAAATTTGTTCTTTTATGTTGTGTCCCATGAAACGTTGAACGAGCCTAATAAAAAACGGAAAAATTTCAACTTAAATGAAGTCTCCAGTTCAATTACAAATCAAGATAAAAAAATTTTTTATTTGTGCACACACACGAGCATGAAAATGTAGATAAATAAGCTAGACATGCTTCAAAGAATGCAGAAATGGAGCTTTAAAACACATTCCTTTTTAAGCCCCGTGTGCACAGCTGTTTTCTATTAAGAATAATTGTAAATTATGTACACATAACAAAAATGCTCAAAATCTTGGTCCCTCCACTTAAATAGATAGAGAGAAATAAAGAGCCGGGAGTGCTAATGGATGTGACAGAGCAGATAAATAAAGGGACAGGAAGATGGGATGTGACAGAGCAGATAAATAAAGGGACAGGAAGACGGCAGACAGCCCTTCCTGCAAACAATGATGCAGAATCAAAAAAAGATTTTATTACTTTGCGTTTAATGAACTGCAACATGTCGCGTTCTCCTCGCTGGAAGTACTGATGCTGAAACTGCAGGTCGTCCTTCTCAATCTTCAGGCCTCCCTGGTCAATGTGAGTCACTTTACGGAAGCCATCTAGGGATCACAAATGTACAATTTCCCATTAGTGATCTATACACAACAGAATTATAATTTCTGAACCAAGAACAAAGTCCAGAAGTGGATGAAAAACCAGAACTTTTTGCCGGAGAAGAATTCAAATATCATGACATAAGTCAAAGATTGTCTTCTTCTTCTCTTCCACCTTGTACCTCATCGAAGTGTCGGGGGGGGGGGGGGGGGGTAGGGGGGGGGGTCAGGGGCGGGGGGGGGTTTGTAATGTGCGTTGATGAGCTCTGTCAAGAGCACTTTTAAGACTGATGTTCATTTCTGTAAGGCTGTTCTTAATGCAAAGATTGTCACCAGTCTAGAATGAAGACAGTATTGAGGCAGAGACAGATACTTACACATATTCAGCTGTCTGATAAAGCTGGCAATGTTGTTGTGTTTGAAGTACAGGGGCAGGATCTCCCTTGAGAACCTCTGTTGGTCATACACATGGAAGCTGGTACCACTCTGAAAGAGAAAGCACACAGACATCAACAGCTTGTGCCATATTCCCAGGGCAGCTAACAAGTTCTTTATGTTACAAGGTTACAGGCAAACCTAAGATAGACAATGTTGATGAGACTAGGTCAAGGTGAAAGGCTGTCCTAAGAAAGACACTGCTGAGAAGACGAGGTCAAGGTGAAAGGCAAACCTAAGATAGACCATTGATGAGACCAGGTCGAGGTTAAAGGCAAACCTAAGATAGACCACTGATGAGACCAGGTCGAGGTTAAAGGCAAACCTAAGAAAGACCACTGTTGAGATCAGGTCAGGGTTAAAGGCAAACCTAAGATAGACCACTGATGAGACCAGGTCAGGGTTAAAGGCAAACCCAAGACATACTCTGCTGGTGACACAAGGTCAAGGTTGAAGGAAATACTAAGAGATTATTGATGAGACCAGGTGCAGAATCTCCCTAAATCCAAGGCTCTCATGTGATCTCTGACTAGCTCTCCCTAAATCCAAGGCTCTCATGTGATCTCTGACTAGCTCTCCCTAAATCCAAGGCTCTGATGTGATCTCTGACTAGCTCTCCCTAAATCCAAGGCTCTCATGTGATCTCTGACTAGCTCTTCCTAAATCCAAGGCTCTCATGTGATCTCTGACTAGCTCTTCCTAAATCCAAGGCTCTCATGTGATCTCTGACTAGCTCTTCCTTGTTGCCAGTTTGTTTCAGTGTTCTGAAAAAGTGCTGGCACATATTGTAATGAGCCGGGGTCAGCCTTAAGGTCACACTGGTCAGAAATAAAATATATATTACAAAATGCCTTTTCTGTTGGTCTTGAAAGCCACCATGACTTCTGCCAGAACTCTACAAGTGCAAGTAGAAGTGAGTTGTGCCAGAACTCTACAAGTGCAAGTATAAGTGACTTGTGCCAGAACTCTACAAGTGCAAGTATAAGTGACTTGTGCCAGAACTCTACAAGTGCAAGTATAAGTGACTTCTGCCAGAACTCTACAAGTGCAAGTATAAGTGACTTCTGCCAGAACTCTACAAGTGCAAGTATAAGCGACTTGTGCCAGAACTCTACAAGTGCAAGTATAAGTGACTTGTGCCAGAACTCTACAAATGCAAGTATAAGTGACTTCTGCCAGAACTCTACAAGTGCAAGTATAAGTGACTTGTGCCAGAACTTTACAAGTGCAAGTATAAGTGACTTCTGCCAGAACTCTACAAGTGCAAGTATAAGTGACTTCTGCCAGAATACAAGTGCAAGTATAAGTGACTTCTGCCAGAACTCTACAAGTGCAAGTATAAGTGACTTCTGCCAGAACTCTACAAGTGCAAGTATAAGTGACTTCTGCCAGAACTCTACAAGTGCAAGTATAAGCACACCAGGCATTATCTCAATCCTTGCATTATTCCTTATTTTTATTGGGCTGAAGACAGGAACAATATCCTTCACTTGTTCAACCCCTGCCTGTGTAGTGTTGGCTGTAACTGATGTTTTGTCTTCTTCCTAGTTCTCTGAAGTCTGTTATATTCTCTGTTGAAGGCCAGACAAGTTATCCCCCCCCCCCCCCCCCACTGCACTGAATTACCACTTGATCACTTTTGCTTGTCTAGGTTGTGTGTGTTTTTTTTAATCAACAATATATATATATATATATATATCAAATATTTTATAAAAGACTAACATTAAGCCAGAATGTTCAACACAAGAGTCATGCTGTGAGATAAGTTTTCATGTCACCTTTGTTGAAAATGTCGTTATAAACAAATGTAGGAAAAATATATTTAGGCATACATTTAGACAAAATGTCTGCAACTCAAAGTTGTTACCAGACCAAGACTAGAAATAAAAAATAAAAAGACAGGCAGACCTAGAGGCAAAGGATGAGATGAGATGCATGCAACAGGGAAGGACAAAATGACTTGGCGTGAGTTGGTTGAGGGTCTATACTCAACTGAGGGATGATAGAAAAAAAAAAAGAAGAAACCTACAGACACCTGGAGACAACGAGAGATGAGACAAATCACAGAGACGGATGGAAGAAGGTATATCTGCAGCAATGAACCTCAAGGGCTCAGAATGCCAAAGAAGAAAGAAGAAGATGCTACAGACAGTTTTTACATAACTAAAAACTGTTGATAATGTGGGAATTACAGAAAAGCTGTGTGAAGCTTTACAAACAGCCTGAGGTATGTCACAACTTTCAAAATGTGCACCAGAGATTTCTGATGTAAGTATTTTGACCAACTCTTCAAAGCAAACAAAAACACAAGTGACGTCAGTCTACAACAATCACTCTGTAGTTTTAGATGGTATAACTTATTGTTAATCAACTGTTAGACACTGCTAAAGTATCTATGAATATACATGTCCTGAGTAATTTACTTATTATTATTAAGCACAAACTAGACAAGATTCCATCACACATTATTGTGATTTGATTACTGTGTATTATTGTCTGCTATCACACACGCACCACAGAATTGGCTGCAAGATTTCGCCAAACTTTCTCGTCTCACACGTAATCTGGTGTACTATTATCCAGGCAATCCATACATTACTGAAGCAGCCAGCCTGGGATATCCCGTCAGCAATAACAAACTAAAGTACAACTGTACTTTTAGCGCCGGGGTCAGCAGGCAAAACCACACAGGCAGAAAAACAAAACAGAAATATTTATTGACACTCTTGGCGGCTCTCCAGGCTTGCCGGTTCACATCGCTAACATTTTACTAACAACATCAAACTATGTAGCCTTTCTGGTCCATCATGTCGGTTTTCTCGGACATGTTTTGTTTGTGTTCACCAATAAGTGACTTCCACGAGAAAGGAAAGAAAAGACAAGACAGTACAGCGAGGAGTAAGCGGCGATAACTGAGGCGAGGAGGACACTTTGACATACAAAACAAACAACTCGACATGTTCCACAACAAACTCACAGAGTCCCAATGAATCAGTTCATCGGTTGACGGGTCTTCTACCAGCGTCCACAGTTTGATGAGAAATGCAGGAACACTTCCTGAACTGTTTTCCACGGCTGCGTACATGATGTGTTTAGCGCGCGCTCATCGACTGAGGAAAGTGAGAAATAAATGTCGGCACAGAGTTTTTGCTCCAGCTCTTCTTGGCCTGCCGGAAGTAGATTCTGCGGTAAATAGCCCGCTGCGCATGCGCCGGGCACCCAGCCGAACAATGGGGGACGGGGAGGTGGGTACGAGGAGGTGGGCGATTGATTGTCATGGCGGGAATGGCTGGTCGGGGCGATCACGGGTCGGTGAATCTGCTGGCTTAAGCGACAACGGGTTTGTGAGTCTGCTGGCTTAGGCGAACATAGTTCTGTGAGAATATGGTGACTGCAGTCAAGCTAATACAAGGAATTCCAGAGAAATTTGACTAAAAATCTCAACAAAATGGGGAAGCAGAAAAACGTGCACAAAACAACACAACGTAACGTTTTGGCTGGGCAGCCTTTTTCAAACATAAGTGAACTACACAAACGTAACAACGAGGAGGAGGAGAAGGGGGGTCTGTGAGTCTGTTTACCTGGACGATCACGACACGGGTCTATCACTTTGCTGGCCTGGTTAATCACCTCATGGGTCTGTCAGTTTTTTATTGACATATGCAATCACGGGTCTGTGGATCTGCGGGTCTGGCCGATCTTGCCTTTGTAGACCCTCTATCTACTGCTGGCCTGTCTGCTGACGCGTGCTATCAATGTGTTTGTGGAACTTTCGTCCCTCCAGTTGTCAAGCAGTTCTTGTATTTTTGTAATCTGAGGATCTCTTGTCCGCCTGTGAACATAATCAGCGGCAAATAATTGTTACGAGATGTGCTCCAATCCTGTCTATACTCATTTATCAGAACTACAGCCCGTTCTATCCGTATACCGCATGCGTTAATTTAAAAAAAAGTGTTAAATCTACAGCGCTCAGACATGATCGTGAATAGTACCTGGCTCAGACAGGACCGTGTGTAGTACCTAGCTGATACAGGACCGTGAGTAGTAAGTACCTAGCTGATACAGGACCGTGAGAAGTAAGTACCTGGCTGAGACAGGACCGTGAGTAGTAAGTACCTGGCTGAGACAGGACCGTGGGTAGTACCTGGCTGAGACAGGACCGTGGGTAGTACCTGGCTGAGACAGGACCGTGGGTAGTACCTGGCTGAGACAGGACCGTGGGTAGTACCTGGCTGAGACAGGACCGTGGGTAGTACCTGGCTGAGACAGGACCGTGGGTAGTACCTGGCTGAGACAGGACCGTGGGTAGTAAGTACCTGGCTGAGACAGGACCGTGGGTAGTAAGTACCTGGCTGAGACAGGACCGTGGGTAGTACCTGGCTGAGACAGGACCGTGGGTAGTAAGTACCTGGCTGAGACAGGACCGTGGGTAGTAAGTACCTGGCTGAGACAGGACCGTGGGTAGTAAGTACCTGGCTGAGACAGGACCGTGGGTAGTAAGTACCTGGCTGAGACAGGACCGTGGGTAGTAAGTAGACAGGACCGTGGCTGAGACAGGACCGTGGGTAGTAACAGGACCGTGGGTAAGTACCTGGCTGAGACAGGACCGTGGGTAGTAAGTACCTGGCTGAGACAGGACCGTGGGTAGTACCTGGCTGAGACAGGACCGTGGGTAGTAAGTACCTGAGACTGAGACAGGAGACAGGACCGTGGGTAGTAAGTACCTGGCTGAGACAGGACCGTGGGTAGTACCTGGCTGAGACAGGACCGTGGGTAGTACCTGGCTGAGACAGGACCGTGGGTAGTACCTGGCTGAGACAGGACCGTGGGTAGTACCTGGCTGGAGACAGGGACCGTGGGTAGTACCGACAGGACCGTGGTAGTACCTGGCTGAGACAGGACCGTGGGTAGTACCGGCTGAGACAGGACCGTGGTAGTACCTGGCTGAGACAGGACCGTGGGTAGTACCTGGCTGAGACAGGACCGTGAGTAGTACGTGGACAGGACCGTAGTAAGTACCTGGCTGAGACAGGACCGTGGGTAGTAAGTACCTGGCTGAGACAGGACCGTGGGTAGTACCTGGCTGAGACAGGACCGTGGGTAGTACCTGGCTGAGACAGGACCGTGGGTAGTACCTGGCTGAGACAGGACCGTGGGTAGTAAGTACCTGGCTGAGACAGGACCGTGAGTAGTAAGTACCTGGCTGAGACAGGACCGTGGGTAGTACCTGGCTGAGACAGGACCGTGGGTAGTAAGTACCTGGCTGAGACAGGACCGTGGGTAGTAAGTACCTGGCTGAGACAGGACCGTGGGTAGTACCTGGCTGAGACAGGACCGTGAGTAGTACCTGGCTGAGACAGGACCGTGAGTAGTACCTGGCTGAGACAGGACCGTGGTAGTAAGTACCTGGCTGAGACAGGACCGTGGGTAGTAAGTACCTGGCTGAGACAGGACCGTGGGTAGTACCTGGCTGAGGACAGGACCGTGGGTAGTAAGTACCTGGCTGAGACAGGACCGTGGGTAGTAAGTACCTGGCTGAGACAGGACCGTGGGTAGTAAGTACCTGGCTGAGACAGGACCGTGGGTAGTAAGTACCTGGCTGAGACAGGACCGTGGGTAGTAGTACCTGGCTGAGACAGGACCGTGGGTAGTAAGTACCTGGCTGAGACAGGACCGTGGGTAGTAAGTACCTGGCTGAGACAGGACCGTGGGTAGTAAGTACCTGGCTGAGACAGGACCGTGGGTAGTAAGTACCTGGCTGAGACAGGACCGTGGGTAGTAAGTACCTGGCTGAGACAGGACCGTGGTAGTAGTACCTGGGACCGTGAGTAGTACTGAGACAGGACCGTGAGTAGTACCTGGCTGAGACAGGACCGTGAGTAGTACCTGGCTGAGACAGGACCGTGAGTAGTACCTGGCTGAGACAGGACCGTGAGTAGTACCTGGCTGAGACAGGACCGTGGGTAGTACCTGGCTGAGACAGGACCGTGGGTAGTACCTGGCTGAGACAGGACCGTGGTACCTGGCTGAGACAGGACCGTGGGTAGTAAGTACCTGGCTGAGACAGGACCGTGGGTAGTAAGTACCTGGCTGAGACAGGACCGTGGGTAGTAAGTACCTGGCTGAGACAGGACCGTGAGTAGTAAGTACCTGGCTGAGACAGGACCGTGAGTAGTAAGTACAGGACTGGCTGAGACAGGACCGTGGGTAGTAAGTACCTGGCTGAGACAGGACCGTGGGTAGTACCTGGCTGAGACAGGACCGTGGGTAGTACCTGGCTGAGACAGGACCGTGGGTAGTAAGTACCTGGCTGAGACAGGACCGTGGGTAGTAAGTACCTGGCTGAGACAGGACCGTGGGTAGTACCCGTGGCTGAGACAGGACCGTGGGTAGTAAGTACCTGGCTGAGACAGGACCGTGGGTAGTAAGTACCTGGCTGAGACAGGACCGTGGGTAGTAAGTACCTGGCTGAGACAGGACCGTGGGTAGTAAGTACCTGGCTGAGACAGGACCGTGGGTAGTAGTACCTGGCTGAGACAGGACCGTGGGTAGTACCTGGCTGAGACAGGACCGTGGGTAGTACCTGGCTGAGACAGGACCGTGGGTAGTACCTGGCTGAGACAGGACCGTGGGTAGTACCTGGCTGAGACAGGACCGTGGGTAGTACCTGGCTGAGACAGGACCGTGGGTAGTACCTGGCTGAGACAGGACCGTGGGTAGTAAGTACCTGGCTGAGACAGGACCGTGGGTAGTACCTGGCTGAGACAGGACCGTGGGTAGTACCTGGCTGAGACAGGACCGTGGGTAGTACCTGGCTGAGACAGGACCGTGGGTAGTACCTGGCTGAGACAGGACCGTGGGTAGTACCTGGCTGAGACAGGACCGTGGGTAGTACCTGGCTGAGACAGGACCGTGGGTAGTACCTGGCTGAGACAGGACCGTGGGTAGTACCTGGCTGAGACAGGACCGTGGGTAGTACCTGGCTGAGACAGGACCGTGGGTAGTACCTGGCTGAGACAGGACCGTGGGTAGTAAGTACCTGGCTGAGACAGGACCGTGGGTAGTAAGTACCTGGCTGAGACAGGACCGTGGGTAGTACCTGGCTGAGACAGGACCGTGGGTAGTACCTGGCTGAGACAGGACCGTGGTAGTAGTAAGTACCTGGCTGAGACTGAGACAGACCGTGGGTAGTACCTGTACCTGGCTGAGACAGGACCGTGGTAGTAAGTACCTGGCTGAGACAGGACCGTGGGTAGTACCTGGCTGAGACAGGACCGTGGGTAGTAAGTACCTGGCTGAGACAGGACCGTGGGTAGTAGAGTACCTGGCTGAGACAGGACCGTGGGTAGTACCTGGCTGAGACAGGACCGTGGCTGAGACAGGACCGTGGGTAGTACCTGGCTGAGACAGGACCGTGGGTAGTACCTGGCTGAGACAGGACCGTGGGTAGTACCTGGCTGAGACAGGACCGTGGGTAGTAAGTACCTGGCTGAGACAGGACCGTGGGTACCTGGCTGAGACAGGACCGTACCTGGCTGAGACAGGACCGGGGTAGTACCTGGCTGAGGACAGGACCGTGGGTAGTACCTGGCTGAGACAGGACCGTGGGTAGTAAGTACCTGGCTGAGACAGGACCGTGGGTAGTAAGTACCTGGCTGAGACAGGACCGTGGGTAGTAAGTACCTGGCTGAGACAGGACCGTGGGTAGTAAGTACCTGGCTGAGACAGAGACAGGCTGACCGTGGGTAGTAAGTAGAACAGGACCGTGGGTAGTAGTACCTGGCTGAGACAGGACCGTGGGTAGTACCTGGCTGAGACAGGACCGTGGGTAGTACCTGGCTGAGACAGGACCGTGGGTAGTACCTGGCTGAGACAGGACCGTGGGTAGTACCTGGCTGAGACAGGACCGTGGGTAGTACCTGGCTGAGACAGGACCGTGGGTAGTAGTACCTGGCTGAGACAGGACCGTGGGTAGTACCTACTGAGACAGGACCGACAGTACCTGGCTGAGACAGGACCGTGGGTAGTACCTGGCTGAGACAGGACCGTGGGTAGTAAGTACCTGGCTGAGACAGGACCGTGGGT